TTGCCTGAACCCAGGAGGCGGAGGTTGCGGTGAGCCGAGATCGCACCATTGCACTCCAGCCTGGGTAACAAGAGTGAAACTCTGTCTCAAAAAAATAAAATAAAATAAATAAATAAATAAAAATGCATAAAAACAAATGTTTCCATATATAATGTTCAAAACAAAAAAAATTAAACTATACTTATAAGTAACAATAATTTATAAAATAAGTAGAAATAAAACATATGAAAACAATAGCACAAAAAAGGGAAGAAATGGAAATCTATTATTGCAAGGTTCTTACACTATACATGCTGTAGTATAGTATTATTTAAAAATAGACTTTGGTAAGTTAAAAATATGTATTATAAGTCCTCAAGCAATACATAATGCCCTCAAAAAAGGGTAAAACTAATAAACCAAACCAGGAAATAAACAATAAAGACAGACAAAGAACACTGAAAACAACAAGGAAGACAGATTTCCAATCATATAAATTAGTAAAGAAAATCCATATGAAATAAAAAACCCAATTTAAAGGCAGAGATTGTCATTTTGGATATACAAAACAAGAAAGACCTATGCCACCTAAAATGATATATATAGGTTGAAGTAAATGGATGCAAAATACTAAACTAGATATACTTCAATGCATTAATCAAAACAAAGCTGGAGTAGCTATATTAATATCAGACAAAAAACACAAGGCAAGAATATTATCAGGGTTAAAATGAGATGTTAAATAAGAATAAAAGGGTCAAATTGTCCAAGAAAAAAGGTAGCAATCCTAGATGTGTGTGTAGCATTTAATAAAAAAGTTTCTAGGTTACAATTAGACAGTAGACAAAAAATATAAATAGTAGACGTCAACATTCCCTGAGTAATTGATAGAAAAAGTAAATAATAAAAAATGACATAGAATGCTGAAACAGAGCTGTAAACTAATTTTATCTAATAACTATTTTATTCAAGAGCAGCAGACAGATTCTTTACAAATGCAAGTGCAACATTCACCAAGATATATAGTAATATGATCATAAAATAAATTACTGCAAGGGAATTAAGCTGAAAGTCAGTATCTGGAAAGATAGCTGAAATATTCCCAAATATTTTGCAATTAAACAAATACTTCTAAAGAGCCCATGGTTAAAACATACACACACATATGAAACTAGAAAACATTTTAAATATAATGAAAATAGTAATAATAAATTTCTACATATCAAAATATACGGGAACACAGCTAAAGCAATGCTTAATGTAAAATAAGTTCATAAAGAACAAAGGTCTTGTATCAATGATCAAAACTTACACCTTAAAAAAAAATTAAAAAACAAAGCAAATTAAACCCAAAGCAGCAAAAGCAAGGAAATTACCAAGACCAAGCATCAATAAAATTTAAACAAAAATATTATAGAAAAATCAAAATTAAAAGCAGATTATTTGTACAGATCAACAAAATTGATAAACTTCTATCCAGAATGATCAAGAAAAAAAAACAAAGACACAAATTGCCAACATCAGAAATGAGAAAGGTGACATTGCTACAGAGAAAAGGTCTCTTTGGCTGAAGGAACCAGAAAACTGAAATGGAATCATGACCAGTAAGAGAATGGGGTAATCCTAGAAGAAAAAGCAGTCAGAAAAGAGATCCTCAAATTCTTTCTCACAACGTCTTTGAACGCTGAACCGCATGTATAGAACAGACTAAAAGCAGCTCAACTAAAGCCAAAAGATCTGGACTGAGACTGGATGCACCACCCAAGAAAGAGTTCAAAGTTCACATCTAGCCAAGTTAGTGGCCTGTCAAAGTAAAAGTAAGATTACCCACTAGAGAATAATGGAATCCAGAATCTCTACAACCACTTTGTATTTATTGTGGTCTAGCTATGTGCCAGGTATTACGCTACATGCTGGGAACATCCTAGAAAACAAGATAAAGTTCTTGTACTCATGGAGGTTACACTCAAATGGAGAAGATAGCCAAGAAAGTATAACAAAAGTTAATAAATGTTTTGATAGGAGACATAGAAGAAATACATCACAGAACATCTACTGTAATCTAAGTAAGGCTTTTCGAAAGTTTTAACTGGGCAAAGTCAAAGGAGCAGAGTGTTCCAGGCAAAGCTTGGAGGTCAAATACTAAACCAGATACACTTCAGTGCAAAAACTGGGAAGGTTTCTTGACATAGCACACTGAAGAAACCAAAAGAAGCTCCGTATAGTTGGTACGTATATGGTTAAGACTAAAGTGTCAAGGGATGACAATAATGAGTTCAGCTGTGTACAAGGTTAAGTCAAGAGTCAAACTAAAGAATCTGAACTTAATTTTAAAAGCAATGAGAAACTTCTGAAAGATCTTCATGCACAAAGTGATATATTCCAATTTTAATGTTAGAAAAGTCCTATTGATGGTTATGAAAACAACAGACTGAATAAAGGAAAGGCTAAAGACAGACACGTTGAGAAGCTGTTTGAGAATTCCAAATGAGAAATAATGATAACCTGATTTCATTTAGTGAAGTAGTAGAGATAGGGCAGAACTAAGAATAAATTTATATTTTAAAAGCTAAATTGATAGTACTTTTTTAACAGTTACAAAGCAGTGGTAGAAAGAAAGAAAATGAGTCCAGTTTTGAACATGCTAAATTATAAATATTTTTGAAAAATAAAACTGGAGATATTCAATATGGAGGTAGGTATACAAGGTAAAGCTTTTAAGAGAGAGATACGTGCTAGAGATCAAGATTTGGGCTTCATTAACTAATAAGGGAAAATTGATGCCTTAGATGTCAATGAAATGTCCCTACTAGACTGAAAAATGGCTTTTACACTTTAGACAGAAGAAAAAGAGAATCAATAGATTAGGAGAACTTTTATATTGAAACTTCTAACTTCAGTAGCAAGACTCTATAGTACCTCTATTAATTCCAGTATTATCAAATATATTATTCTGCAATACAGTTTTCTCATCAAAGAAACAGGAAGGTTCTAATTGTAAGATAAACTTAGTGGTTTGGATAAGCTTCGAAAGATAGAAAAGTCTTTATTTCATAACAAACTGCTTTAAGAAAAATATGTTTTATCTTTAGAAAAGGACTATTTTCACACTTAATGTGAAAGTATCCACATAATTTCTCCGTATCTGTTTTAGAATGTAAATGTCTAAAATAAGTGGGAATAGAGAGGGAAACAAATGGAATTAAATACGATTTTTTTCATATACCTAATACTACCTTAAAATTTAATGGAGTTCCATTAGGTGACAGAAACAGAGAAGAATTAAGCAACCAAAAAATATATACAGATTCCAAAAAAGGTAACAGAGTAGTTTATTTTAAACTTACCTTGCTCCTAAATTTTCAATGGTTATATATTCATCCTTTCTCACAACTTCAAACTGCAAGTAATGGGGAAAAAATTAGCTTTAAAGTACTTCAATTTTCAAAATTTTTAATGTTATTTCTTAGCCTTAACATTTGAAAAATACAATGAGAGTGAAGCTAAAGTGAATATAAAACAAACAAAACAGAAATAACAAGGTAAGTAATAAACAATCCTGATCAAAAAAACAAACTAGAGTTGACCTTAAAAAAGCAGTTCTACTTTAGACTTTACATCACTATAGGATTTAAATGCCAAATCTGAAATACTAAAACGGCATATTTAAAAATAAAGAAATAAATAAGATACATTTCTATTCATAATTTTAGTCTGTTTAGTTATAAACTAAAAATTCAACAAGATATTTCATTAGTTAAAACATAAAATGGACATCATCTGAGTGCATTTTATGTAACAGGTACTACATGTGATGTTCTACAGATATTTTCACAGGAGGATATTTACAGACCAAAAGAGGTTCAGAAAGTCTAAAATTATTTTGAAACGTAGGTGTCAAAGAATTAGATTATCATTCTTAGTTCATGATGCTTTCTTTATTGGTATACTTACGGCATGTTTTGTCTTTGTTTCTCTTTTTGCGTGTCTTTCTCTTTATTTTTAAATTTTTCTTGTTCTTAAGGACACTTAAATATTACTTTGCATAAATCACAGCAATAAAAATGTCAAAAAGCCCAGTCACTATCAAAGGGAATATGGCTAGAATCCAATTACGATGATCCCCAACTCTGTTTCAAGTCAAAAATACTCTTCCAATGAAGGAAAGCAAAAAAAAAAAAAAAAAAAAGGTGAAATAAGATACTCACCAAAATTTTAACAATTCCAGGTACATCACATTGCAGCATCCTTGCCATGTCACCTGTACATCCTTCCTTCAAACATTTCTTCGCAATAAAACTCTAAAGTTATTAATAGAAAAAAATCACTGATGTGCAAATCCGATTATATTTAAATAAATGTTGTTAGAAACAAATGTTGCTAGATAGTAAACTGGAGTATGTGAATAAATATTTGAGAGGTAGCTGTTCAAAGATGGTCCATTTCATAAATCAATGGATATCCTATTTAAAATGCATTTCACTCTACATCAAAATTGTCAAGTAGCACCATTACAGACTAAAATGCATTTGCTGCTCCAGAGAAAGCAACTTCAAATAAAATGTATTAATTAAGTGAGTATAAAAAGGATTACTGAATTTCTATCAGGGAAAAGGAAAGAATAAAAATGTTACATCCTTTTTCTAGTTCTGGCCTGTGATTTCTTTTGGTTAAGTCACTTATTTTTATTTTACTTCTCTTTCTAAAATTCAGTAATATTAATTGGTCCCCAAATCAAGGAAATTGTAAAGTATTTATATACCACTTAAAATTGATTAAGTAAATATTTATGAAGTTGTTTTTACAGTTTATAATGTGAGTTCATCTGTTTTATCTGTTAATTCTCACAAAAACCCTATGAAATAGGTTTATCTTATCCTTACTTTAGAACTTAAAAAAATTAGTCTTTGAGCAATTACCAGTCTAACATAATAAAACTAGTAAGTGGCTCAGTCTGGATTTTAACTCAGATCTCCCAACTCCATATTCCGTGCACTTTCTACTACAGCACAATTGCTTTAAAGGGGTTTTCCATTGTTTGCAGAATGTAAACACTACAGAATCAAATATTATAGACCCAACTTATGGTCATCAACTCACTAAAGAGAAATTAATACAGAGCTGGGCTTAGTATTTTCACTTTAATATTAGAGGCAAATAACTCTATTATATGTTATATAATAGTAATTATAACAATTATATGTTATATATAATAGTCATAACTATTATAATATATAACTATGTTATGTTATATAATTATATTATCTATAACTATATATATGTACCTATTATAACTACAGATATTAAAAGTTCCAAATATATTTTTCAAGACTATGAAATTTGTCCTTGTTCTTCACCTCTTAAATAGAAATCCTTAAAATTGTATAATTATCCTTTGTATGTTTATTAAGAAATTCTATTCTATGATCCTACATGCATATATGCAACAATATTTCTATTCTTAAGAGTATACATTTCTAAAAGGAAGGAAATAAATTGACAGAAACCACTAAGCAAACCAACCAGTAGTGTATCATCTACAAAGAACTGTTTAATAAATGATGATGAATGAAAAGTGGTAGGGAGATAAGCATCAGAGAGAACTGGGAAAGAACAAAGAAGGTATTAAAAGAAAAAGAAAAAAGAAGTAAAAAGGAGGGAAGTTATGAATAGGAAGAAGCGATGGGGAAGAGAACAAAAGAGGAAAGGGTAGAGGAAGAAATGCGATTGTAGTTTTAAGAACGAATATAGTACCTGATCATTTTCACCTGGATATTTTAAATTCTTGAACCTTTTCCAGCAAATTTTGTGGAAATAAACACAGCAATTTTTACTGCACATTAACTGAAAAAATCCCTGGAAAAATATAAAAGTAAGTGTCACTTAAGGACATAGCGATTCTTATATATACATAAAAAATTATACTAAATGATTTTTTAAACTGTTCTACAATTAGATTTTATAAGGTATTCAAAATTTATCAACAGAAATCAGAGATCACCAAATAACTTTACAAGTCATTTTACATCACTAAAGGCAGGAAAACTAAGACAGTAAAAAAAAAAAAAAAAAAAAAAAAAAAAAAAAAAAAAAAAAAAAAAAAAGGTGAATAATTTGAAAATGTTAATATAATATTTTCCATTTGCTCTGTTAACAAAACATCAGAAACGCAGTGAGGGATGTCTATAGAGGAACATGCAATCTACCCATCTTCATCTCCATTTTTACATTTCTCTTTTCCACCAACCCCAGCTCCATACCATTACCTCAATCTCCTCTGTTACCAATCATGAGAACTCAGGTTTGCTGCCTTGGTGATAGCTCCTGAGCTACTGCATTATCTGAGGGTATAGATTGCTTGTCCTTTCCATTGCACCCTCCCTGGAAACTACAGCCTTGCTTTTTACAATTTTTGTTTTGATGACAAAAATTAAATTGTATGCTCAGGTATTGTTGCTGCTACATGCTGTTCATTTGATTAGAACCCTAAAGCATTCTTGGGAAACCTTAGGACTATATCACCATGTCACCTAAAGCAATACTGAACAAGCCTGACCATGAGCACTGCATCTACCAGGCTCATTTTTCAATACCTGTCTTATTCTATTGAATAGATCTTGGTCTTCTCCTTCTCCCCACCTACTGCACGGGCTGTACACACCATGCCTTGAAATTGAGATTTCAGTTATTTTTTAGAAGTATTATCTGATTTGCATATCATCTCATTCTATCTTGTGATTTCACCAAGTCTTGTTCTGATAGATCCAGAGAGATCTATCAGAGGTATTCTGATAGCTAAATTTCTTCAAATCAAGGCTGGTTACATTTTCCCCTGTCAAGGCCCACAGAAGAGATAATGATCACTTATATAGTAGCATCATTCCTGAGGAGCGACAGCCTTTCTCCTTAGTCAAATGCTACCATTCTCAACCACTAACATTTCTAACTATAAAGTAAACCATTTTTAGATCATTTTCACTATATGGTTGGCTGTGGGAATAATACTTATAACTTCAGATGCATGTGAATGTTACAAAAACCTTAGCAAAATCAATTTATTCTTTTATTGACTCATGAAATATAAATAATTCCTGATGGCTCTGAATCTTAAGTTCTCAGAGATAACTTTTCAACTGCTTTTCCATTGTAATTAAACTAAATATTGTTTAAAAATAATTTATGAATAATATAATTTTTATAATTTAATTGTATACACTTATATATAATTTTTCAATTACATTTAAAAAAAACTGTTAATGACAATCACAGTACCTTATAACTGGTGTTCTTCACAATGTCAGCTTCACAAGATCGTTCACAATCTAGGTAACTACAAATGGTCTGCTTCATTATATTACTTTCAGTTGTCTTGATAAAATTATTAAGAAGATCCTAGATTTTAAAAACAGAAATAATTCTCATGAATTATTAATAAAAAATTAACACCACAATTAAGACTACCCATGTTTTACCTTGGTAATATGTCCATATCATATTCCTTTTTAAAGTGCTTGTATATATGTATTTTTTTAATAGTAATAAAACATTTCCCTAATTCAAAGTAAACAATGTATAGGAAGGTACTAAATTAAAAGTACTGGATTTCTCAGTGAATGATATAAACATGGAGGATGGAGAGAAGTGTATTTTGATGCTATACTTCTCTTTATCATCTAATCCATAGCATAACTCCTGGCATGTTCCTATCAAGAATTATTTGCTCTGGCCAGGTGCAGTCGCTCACACCTGTAATCCCAGCACTTCGGGAGGCTGAGGCGGGTGGATCACAAGGTCAGGAGTTCAAGACCAGCATGACCAACATGGTGAAGCCCCGTCTCTACTAAAAATACAAAAATTAGCCAGGTGTGGTGGCACATACTTGTAATTCCAGCTACTCTGGAGGCTGAGGCAGGAGAATCGCTTGAACTCAGGAGGTGGAGGTTGCAGTGAGCTGAGATCATAACACTGCACTAAAGCCTGGTCAACACATTGAGACTCCATCTCAAAAAAAAAAAAAAAAAAAAAGGAGTATTATTTGCTCTCATATATACACACAGAAAGACAATAAATTGCTGGTGTCCAGGAGAATCTTGATCAGAACCAACCCCTAGGTCACTGCATTGGCAGTGGAACAACTGTGGTAGTACAGTATGACATTCACTGCCATGACGGTCTAAAGTACAGTAGAGAAATATGTTTTCAATGTCTACAGTTACAAATCAGAATATAATTTCTCATTTTAAAATGCTGATTTAATGGCCAGAAGTGGTGGTTCATGGCTGTAATCACAGTGTTTTGGGAGGTCAGTGCAGGAAGACTGCTTGAGCCCAGGAGTTCAAAGCTGCAGTGAGCTGTGGTAGCACCATTTCACTACAGCCTGGTTGACAGAATGAGACTCCATCTCTAAAAAATAGTATAAAACACACAACAAATAAATGAAATGCTGATTAAACGCAGCTGAATCATGTTATCAGGTCTAAGTTAAATGATTTGATAAGGTGCTTCATATTTATCCTTTAGAGGGAGAGTGTTACAAAATTTCAAATAGTATCACTGCTAATATACTGAGGGTATATGATAAGATACATAAGCCTCTAGAAATTATTTCACAAATATCAGCTCTATGCAGGAGGATAAAGTTGAGAAAATTTCCCAGAAAGTAGAAAAATAATTGAGAAATAAAAAAAATTAAAGACAGTCTAGTATGAAAGGCATCTGGATAATAAGTATTTCACAAAGAAAAAGAGAAAATTAAGAAGATATATCAATATATAAAACAAGAAAATGTTCTAGAAGCAAAAAACAAGTTCAGAACACTGGGGACACAGAAAATATCCTTAACAATTCCCAGAAAGAAAAAAATAAAACAGGTCAAATATAAAAGTTTAAAAATCATAATAAAATCTGGTTTCCTAAAAGTAGTATTAGAAGTTAAAAGATAACAGAAAAATACAGAAGAGGCCAAAGTGGGAGGATTGCTTGAGCCCAGGAGTTTGAGACCAGCTTGGGCAACAGAGTAAGACCTTGTCTTTACTTGAGAAAAGAATTTTTTTTTTAATTAGCCAAGTGCAGTGGCATGTGCCTGTAGTCTCAGCTACTTGGGAGGCTGAAGCAAGAGAATTGCTTAAGCACAGGAAGTTGAGGATGCAGTGAACTATCATCATGCCACTGCACTCCACCCTGGGTGACAGAGTGAGACCCTGTCTCTAAAAAGAAAAATTATTTTCCACCCACAATTCTACACTCAAGCAAGATATGAATAGAGCATACAAAGGATAAATTATTTTGATACTTGAAAGGTCTCAAAAAATTTACCTTCCATGCAAGCTCTCTTTTACAGGAAGCTACTAGAGGCTACAGGAGTTGCACCACCAAAAGAAGGGAGCAACCCTAGGAAGGAAAACTTGAATTCTCAGAAACAGAGGATTCCAGATAGAAGAAAGGTGAAGAAAATTCCCAGGATGAGAGTGAACAGAAACCCTGAGGCCAGCTTAATAACTTATAGCTACCAGTAAGGTAGGATAGGGGATAGGGGGAGAGAGTGAGAGAAGGAGAGAGGGAGGGAGGGAGAGAGAGAGAGCGATAGAGAGAGAGAGAGAGAGAGAGAGAATGCGTGTGCATGTGTGTGTGTGTGTGTGTGTGTGTGTGTGTACATATAAGCAAGCTAAACTCTCATCTTTCATAGTGAAAAATCAAAAGAGAATATGTTTTAAATAGCAGTATTTTTTTTGAAAAATAAATATCAAAGAAAAATGTCTAGAAAGTTGGAAGAATGCCTCTGAGAAGCAGAATTTCAGTTAGAGATGACAAAACAGGAACTCTTATTTTAAGTCTTTAAATATTATTTGACAAACTGAGTAAGTATATTACTGTGCATAAAATAAAAATTCAATTAAAAAGTTAGATAACAAAGAAAGCAAAATATTTTTAAAAGAGGAAGAAAAAGAGTAAAACAACCAAGTAAAAGACTGCTTTACGTAGGGATGAAAATTTAGTATTTTAAAAATGCATAAAATTATTATTTTAGCAAGTCAAAATTAAAAGTTATATGATTATCTTGACAATGCCAAAAGCTGTCTGCATGTTCCATTGACTACTGAGAGAGGTATATTAAAATATTCCATTGTGATTGAGGATTTAAAAATATATCAGTTTTTGACCCATATATTTTGAAGCTGTATTACTTTCAATTTTGTCAATTTTTGTCCCATATATTTTGAAGCTATATTACTAGGTATATACAAATTTGAGTTGTTATATCTTTCAAGATGATTGAATTCTGTATTTTTATAAAGTGTCTCTCTTTATTTTGAGTAATTCTTTTGGCCTTAAAGTCAGGTAAAACATAAAGATCAATAAATATTTAAAGTTTCTTTAAGGTTTTGGAAAAGACATGTCATTCAAACATTAACCAAGAGAAACCTGGTATAGCCATGTTCATATTCAACAAATTAAAAAGAGACCCAAATGGCTTATCAGGTGGATTAAAAATTACCAAAAGGTAAAGGATACCCAGAAGGTATGGGAAAATGAAAAGTCTCACACTATTTGAAGAATATAAAGTGGTACAATCTTTCTGAGAGGAAATTTGGAGACATATAACAACTTTACAATTGTGTGAATACTGCTCCACAATCACACCTTTGAAATTTATTCTAATGAATTTATTAGCAATTTATTCTAATGAAATGATGTAAGAAATATGCAAAGATTACTTTATATAAGAAGGAAAAACTGGAAATGTCTAGAATAAACTAGCAGGGAACTAATTAAGCAAATTAAAGCAAAATTATACAATGGCTTATACCAAAATCATAGTGTATTATAATCTTTATTACTGAGAAATAAAAACTACTATATATTTCCAGACTATAAATAAGTATGCACAACATCATACCAACTTAGGAAAAATAAAGGCTATGAGTGTTTATACATGTGTGTGTGTGTGTGTGTGTGTGTGTGTGTCTGGAAAGCTATAAATGAAAATGCTAACAATCGTTTCTCCATTTGAAGAAAAAATATAGATTAATTTCATCTTTATCTTTGGGCATTTTTATATTTTCCATGTTTTCTTAACTAAGCATTTAGTAGTTTATAATTTAAATCAACAGCAAAATAATGGTAAAGATAATTAGTAAAAAAAGTTAACTGCTGCATTTTACTCTAATCATGCAGGGTACTAGCCTAATATGGCTATTAATATTCTTGTTATTTGAAAATGCTAACACTGCCACCTCACTTCTTCCTCCTTGTTGAATCATACATTCTGCACTAGATAACCCAATAAAGGTTGTTTCTTATATAAAAAGTTGTGTGTCAATAAAACAATGTGCTTGCTATAAGAATATGACATAGTTGGTTCACACTTTATCAAAGATGATTCTGATTAGTTACAAATAAAACGTTACTCTTAAATAATTTCTTACTTTAAAAGTTGTAGGTAAATCTTCATCTTCTGTAGGATCTATGTCAAACCAATGGTCATTTATATCTCCAATTTCTTGTAAGCCCTTATGAAATTCTAGCAGTCCCCCATTATATCTGCAAGACATTTTAAAATAAGGTTAGTTTGAATGGGAGTGTGCAGATGGATGGTTTACAATGAGACAACAAGTAACCCACATTTTGTGGTAAATAGGGCGGTGATAACCTCTGGCATGCCATAGAAATACAAACACTAGGACTCTCGCCTGTGGCAGATTGGGATGAAATACAGGTGGAAGGGGAGGCACTAGATTGTGTAGTAGCTCAAGCGTGAACAGTATGGGGGCCATGGTAATTAAAGGGACTATAAAGTTGGTTGGCTTTTGTTAAATGTCTTGGAGGCCTTGAACAAAGAGAATGACAGTCACAGGTCAGCCAACTATTAACTCAGGATACACAGTGAAAGCCAGACGGCCTCTATGGTGGCAATTTAAAGAGATTCTCATCTCCTATGGCCATAATCTGTGCTGAAAATAAGGCCCATATTTAATCATGAAGTGACACGAACTGCAAAGATATTGAATACACTGCCTCAACAAGACTAATACAATCAACTCAGGACATTGTGAAAACTAGAGGGCCTCTATGGTAACATCTAAAGAACCTCCTCTAGACATAAGGCAGACTATGCTGAAAATGAAGTTCAGAATTTAACCATAAGGGTAGAACAGCTGCAAAAGAAACCCAAAGCACAGCCTCAACAGAACTACACTAAAATTAGGATTTTGATATGCAATGGGTAGACCCTGGGATCTAAAATGGGGATATTTAGGTGAATATGCATAGAAACACTGAATCCTTAAATTCCCCCATGAACTTCTTGACTGGCAAACACCTCTTGCTTACCACAGGAGAACAGCCCACATTTATTTAGAGACCATGCAAAAACATCAGCTGAGATGCATGTCTCAAAAGATGATGCCCTTCCTTCTTAAGATCCTCCCTACCTCATTGCCTTTAGACAATAAATCTAAGGTCAGGTGGAGAGCCCAAGTGAGAAAACAGAGCCCTTGCCCAGGAAGAAAAACCTTATTAATCTTAAGAACTGCAGAATCCCACTAGAATGTACTGGCAGGAACATGAGTGGGAGTGGATCTTTAAAGTGCTGAATTAAGGGTAAACATAAGGCTGGATATGGAAAAACTCTTCCATAATTCAAGATTTACTTTCCTAGAAATGACACCTGAATCCAGTCCTAATAAGGTGCTGAGAAGGCTCCTTGAAACATGGACATGATGGTCTATAGTAAATGAAGTAGAAATGCTAAAAATTTCTTGGAGGAATATTAAAGCAGTCAGGAGGTTCAAGGAAGTGAGAATGTTAGAATGGACTTACTACATAAAAATACAGAACCCACCACTAATTCAGTGTTCCTAGGAAGGCTCAAAGGATACTCCATTCATTAATACAGTAAGAAATACAGAGTAAGAAGGGCACATGTGTCTTTGAAGAGCTCAAGAACTCAGTGGTGGTTGTCCTCCATAGGCTAGGGATGAAAGTAATGATGCTGCCATACAACTGGACTTTCTAGTGTCAATCATGTGGAAAATGAATTATCTCCAATGTTCATCAGTAAAGAGAATATAAAACAGTTTTCACATCTGGGGAAGGACAGCAGGATAGATTCTTTATTCTTGTCTCAGGCTATGTTAATTCTCTTACTTTGTCACAGTATAGACTGAAGGGGTTTGGATCATCTTGACACTGTGCAAACCGTCACACTAGCCCCACTATATTGATGGCACATGTTGCTCAGACCCAGGGAACAAGAAGTGAGAAGTCTTGTGGATATCCTAGCGAAAAAACACCAAGCCAGAGAATAGGAAATCAGCCTTACAAGGAATCCAGGAACTACCACATAGGTGACACTATTAGGGATCCAATAGTTTGGCCCGGCAGTAATCCTTCATAAGAGGTTGCCCAAGTAAACTTTTCCTAATTCATCCCTCAGATCTTAGCCAAACATTGTTTCCTCAGGGAGACTTCTGATTCCCAGAACAGGCCTCCAGGAAAGACTTTATTCACTGTATTTTCCTTCATATCTCTTTATCCTATTTCATAAATGAGTATTTTATGACTGATTATTTGATTAAGATCTGTATCTTTCACTGTTCTTTCAGTTACATGAAGATAGGAACTGTATTTTGTAAACCATTGTAACCTCAACACCTAACAGTTTCTGGAATATAATGGATACTTAGTAAATAAAATGAATGAATGATGCTACTAATGGTTATGGATCTCCATATAGGAAGTAAAGAGATAATCTATATAGTCTCATCCATACAATTTCACTTTCTTAAAATAAGGAGAAGCCAATACTCCAAAAACTCAGCATTTGGACCCTTTTCAACTCTTTATAAGCTTATTTATACTTTTAAAAACTATTCCAAGTTAGTGGTGATAATACTAGTAACTCCAACTATCATTTATTTATTAAGTACAGCATTTTTGTGTCCCAGGCACTGAGTTAATCATCTGTAACATCCTTATGAGATGAACCATACACTATTATTAGTTCTATTTTAGAGGTACAAAAAAAATATAAGGCTTAACAACATTAAGTTTCTTAGGATTAAGTGATAGAAAATGTAGCTGATCTCAGGTCTATCAGACTCCAAAGCCTATGCTCCTAATGTTAATGCTAGACTGCCTCTTAATGCCATAGCCTGTTAAGTTTGATATTTAATATTCTCAACTATATTAAAGAAATTATCTATACAAAAAGGCAAAGAAGACAAGGATAAACCAATAGAGCACAAATGTCACAATGCCTGGTATATTGTGCACATTAATTCCATTGCACAATGCTGAGACTTCACAGGGAAGATCTACCTATTAATTAAAATCCTTACCTCTTCTGAGCACATCGCAGTAAACCACGTCCAAAATAAACTAAAGGCATAAAGTTTTCACAAATTTCATTCTCTTGGATCACCATCTTCATCACCAGAAATTTATTCTCAGCTTCTGTATAATCCTGTAGTAACATAAAACTAGGTTTAGCTGATGTAAAAAGTATTTTTTTTCTTTTACAATAAACAATTATTTCTCAAACTGGAGAAATTAGGGCAGCTTTAAAAATAATCCAATCATCTGGTCATTTATTTACATTTTGAATCCTGGCATCTCTGTATGTGATTACAAAGATCAGTGTTTAAAATATTTATTTATACATAAATTTAAGACCTTCGTTAACCAGTATTTCAAAGTAAATATTAAGATGGTAACAACAATTTGTGTATCTAAAACTGGCAATTAGGCATGGTGGCACGCACTGATAGTGCCAGCTCCGTAGGAGGCTGAAGCAGGAGGATTGCTTGAGCCTGGGAGTTCAAGTCCAGCTTGGGCAACATAGTGAGACCCTCATCTTTTAGATACATATATATACACATACATAACTGACAAGCATTACTAGCCAAAATAAGGGCTTTTCTGATAACTGTTAGAGCACAATTCTTTATCATTTTCCTAATCGGCGCACAATTCTTCACAATTTTTCAAATAGAAAGTAAGTGACTCTTTGATCATAGGTGTAGACTCTTTCGGGGTATCACCATCTTAATCATAAATAATATAGGTCTGGGAGTAAATATCAGGATCTGTTATAATAGATGCTTCAGTAAAACAAGCATAATAGCCTCAGTCTCTCTAGAAAAAAAAAAGCTAGGAAAATACTGCATGGCCTTGCTTTAAAATATTCTCTAGTACATCACACTAAATAATTAGCACTACATAAAATTATTTAAAATAGAAATGTTCCTGGCTAACATGGTAAAACGCCATCTCTACTAAAAACACAAAAATTAGCCAAGCATGGTGGCGTGCTTCTGCAGTCCCAGCTATTCAGCAGCCTGAGGGAGGAGAATCGCTAGAACCTGGGAGATGGAGGTAGCAGTGAGCCGAAATCGCGCCACTAACACTCCAGCTGGTAACAGAGTGAGACTCTGTCTCAAAATAAATAAATAAAATAAAAATAAAATAGAAATGTTTTCAGTTTGGATGCTTATCAATTCTACTTCATCTAAATAACAATTCATATTTATATATTTAATTTATGAAGTCAAATAAAAATACAGATTTGGGAAGAAAAAATAAGAGAAATATCAAGGCTATGAAGAAAATATGAGAAATCATTAAAAAATCAGAAAAAGAAAGGAAATGTTAAATTCAACAGAACCCTTAGAAATTATCTAGTTAATTCCCAGATTTTTATTTAATTGAACTTAAGTTTGGCAAAGAATTTGAGGCATATTTTACCAAAGGGGTAAGATTAAAACCACAGGGATTATGCTACACTAGAAAATGGATTAAAATGTATCATACAAGTGAAATAAGCTAAATAATTTTTTATTTTACACAAATGATATGCATTTAAAAGATAAATAAAAGAAATGAAGTTATAAGCTAATACTGTTTCCTTTTTAAATATATTAAGTTTCATATTATGATTTTTGGCCTGATTATTCTAAGATGTAAAAAGATTTATAAAGGGTAAATACCGTGTTACATACCTCTTTCTTTCCTCTTTCAGTGAGTGCTACTCCATATAAAAACAGTAACGTCAAATAATAACCAATATTAATCTGGTGTGCCTAAAAAGAAAAAAATATATATTAATTGGTTATTTTGACTAAGCTACTTTTCAGTACAAGCTTAATTAAATATCCTAAGCTTAATTAATAATTATTAAAATGAGTAAAAATTATCATTACATTCTCAGTTATCTAATAATAATTATAGATAATATATTTTAGATATATTTGATAATTTGACCCCGGAAGAAGAAAGAGGATAGTCAATAATCTCAAAATAAAACATTAAAATTTAATTAAAGGAAAGCATATGGAACAAAGATGGCCAAACAGAACCCGCCAACAATTGTCCCAACACAGGAACACCAAACTGAACAACTACCCCACAGAGAAGCCCCTTCATAAGAAACAAAAATCAGGTGAGTCATCACAGTACCTGGTTTGAACATCATATTAATGAAACAGGCACTGAAGAGGGTAGGAAAGACAGTCTTAAATCGCCTACACCATGCTTTCCTCTATCCCCTGACAACAGCTATGTGGCACGGACAGAGAATCTGCGTGCTTGGGGGAAGGAAAGCACAGTGACTGTGGGACTTTGCATTGGCACTCTGCTGCCCTGTCACATCTGAAAGCCACCCTGAGTGAGCCACCCTGAGATCACTGAATTCAGTCAGTGATCATGGAGGAAGCATTTAGACAAGAGTTAGCCAGAGGCAAATAGCCCAACCCAGCAGTCAGAGCCTGAGTTCCGGCAAGCCCTGCCAGAGTGAGCCAAAGTGCTCTGAGGTCCTAAATAAAAGGCAGTCTAGGCCACAAGGACTGCAATTCCTGGCCATGTCCTGGTGCTGTGCTGGGATTGGAGCCAATGGATTTGTGGTGTACACAATCTAGTAAGATACCAGCTGGGGCAGGCAAGGAAGTGATTATGTCACCCCTCCAACTCCAGGGAAAACAACTCACAGGTCTGGGAGAGACACCTTCCCTCTGTTTGAGCAGAGGAGAGATAAGAGTTAAGATGATTTTGCCTTGCATCTTGAATAACAGCTCAGCCATGGTAGAATCCTGAGGCTCTGGCTGCAAGACAATATTTCTAGACACACCCTGTGGCAGAAAAGAACTCACTGCCTTGAAGGTAAGAACCCAATCCTGGCAGGATTCATTACCTGCTGACTAAAGAGCCCTTGGGCCCTGAATAATCAACAGTAGTAGCAGTACTCACCATGGGGTGAGACTCAGAGCCATGCTGGCTTCAGGTGTGACCCAACATATGCCCAGCTGTGATGGCTATGGTGAGAGGTGGCTTTCTGCTTGAGAAAAGCACAAGGAAAAGTAAAGGGGACTTTGTCTTGCAGCTTGGGTATCAGCTCAGCCACAGTGGGGTAGAGCACTAAGTGGGCTTCTGGGGGACCCACTTCCAGACCCTGGGTCCTGTCTGGCACTTCTGGACTTGCCCTGGGCCAGAGAGAAAGGCACTGCTCTGAAAGGAGAGACTCAATATAGGTAGCAAGGCAGTGGTCACCACAGAGCAAGACCAGTGCTGTGCTGGCGTCACATCTGAACTAGCACAGTCCTAGTGATCGTGGCCACAGGAATGCTTGTGTCACCCCTCTCCCAGCTCCAGGCAGCTTGGCACAAGAGAGAGAGAGAGACTGTTTGTTTGGGATAAAGGAAGAGAAGAGAACAAGAGTCTCTGCCTGGTAATCCAAGGAGTTCTTCCAGATCTTACCCAAGACTACCAAATGGTACCACTATGAATCTGCAAGAACCACAGTTTTACTGGGGTTAGAGTGTCCCCTAATGCAGATATGGCAGCAATGAACAAAGACTTAGACCACAATACCCAATCCCTTTGAATACCTGGAAAGCCTTCCACAAGAAGGGCAGGTACAAAAAAAGGCCATACAGTGGAGACTACAGTAAATACCTAACTCTCCAATGCCCAGACATGGATGGACATACATAAGCATCAAGACCATCCAGGAAAACATGACTTTACCAAACTAATAAAGGCACCAGTTGCCAATTCCAGAGAGACAGACATGTGACATTTCAGACACAAAATTCTAAACAGCTTTTCTGAGGAAGTTCAATGAAATCCAGATAACACAGAAAAAAAATTCAGAATCCTATCAGATAAATTTAACAAAGAGATTAAAAACAATTTTTAAAAATCAAGTATAAATTCTAGAGTTTAAAAAAGCAATTGACATGCTGACGAATTCACCACGGTCTCTTAACATCAGAATTTATCAAGCAGATGAAAGAAGTAGTGAGTCTGAAGACAGGCTGTTTGAAAATACATAAAGGACACCCCAAAAAGAATTTTAAAAATGAAGTATATCTACAAGATCTAGAAAATAGCCTTAAAAGGGCAAGTCTAAGAGCCAGTAGCCTTAAAGAGGTGGCAGAGAGAAAGATCAGGATAGGAAGTTTATTCAAAGGGATAACAGAGAACTTTCCAAATCTAGAGAAAGATGTGAATACTCAAGTACAAGAAGGTTATAGAACACCAAGTAAACCTAACCCAAATTAAGACTATCTCAAGACATTTAATAATTGAACTCCAAAAGGTCAAGATTAAAGAAAGGATCCTAAAAGCAGCAACCAAAAGGAAACAAGTAACATACAATGAAGCTTCTATACGCTGGCAGCAGACTTTTCAGTGGAAACCTTATAGGCCAGTAGAGAGTAGCATGACATATTTAAAGTGCTGAAGGAAAAAAAAACCTAGAAAAAAAATACTATTCTAGAATAGTATATCCAGCAAAAATATTCCTCAAACATGAAGGAGAACTAAAGACTTTCCCAGACAAAAACTGAGCAATTTCATCAACACCATACCTGTCCCACAATAAATGAGAAAGGGAGTTCTTCAATCTGAAAGAAAAGGACGTTAATGAGCAGTAAGAAATCATCTAAAGGTGCAAAACTCACTGGTAATAGTAGGCACACAAAAAAACGCAGGATATTATAACACTGTAATTGTGGTGTATAAACTACTCATGTATTCAGCAGAAAGGCTGAAAGATGAACTGGTCAAAACTACTTGATGGTTTCAATGCTGAATTTTACCAAACATTTAAAGAAAAATTAACACCAACCCTACTCAACCTATTCTGAAAAACAGAGGAAATAATACCTCCAAACTCATTCTGTGAGACCAGTATTACTCTGATACCAAAACCAAAGATACGTCAAAAAGTATATACACATATTGGCCAACCTATCTGATAAACATTGGTGCAAAAATCCTCAACAAAATAGTACCAAACCAAGTTCAGCAATATATTAAACATATCATTAATCATGACCAAGTGGGATTTATCCCAGGATGCAAGGATGGTTCAACATAGGCAACATAATCAATGTGATACATTATATCAACAGAATGAAGGATGAAAATCTTGTCCTTCATGGTATGATCATGGTATAATCATTTCAATAGATGCTGAAAAAGCATTTGATGAAATTCAACATCACTTCATGAAAAAACATGATAAAAAACTGGGTAGCAAAGGAACACACCTCAACCCGATAAAACACATATGACAGATTCACAGCTAGTATCATACTGAATGGGGGAAAGCTAAAATTCTTTCATCTAAGAGCTTGAATATGACAAGAACGCCCATTGTCACCACTATTATTCAACATAGTACTCAAGTCCTAACTAGAGTAATCTGACAAGAGAAAGAAATAAAGGGCATCTAAATTGGAAAGGAAGAAGTCGAATTATCCTTGTTTGCAAATAATATGATCTTATATTTGGAAAAATCTACAGATTCCATGAAGAAACTATTGCAACTGAAAAACAAATTCAGTAAAGCTGCATGATATAAAATAAACAAACAAAAATCAGTAGCATTTCTACATGCCAACAGCAAACCTAAAAAAGAAATCCAGAAAGTAATCCCATTTACAATTGCTGCACAGAAACTAAAACACCTACAAATTAATTTAACCAAAGAAGTGAAAGACCTCTACAGTGAAAACTCCAAAACACTGATACAAGAAATTGAAGATTAAAAAAAGGGTGGGAAGAAGATATTCCATGTTCATGGATTGGAACAATCAATACTGTTAAAATATTCATACTACCCAAAGCAATTTACAGATTCAATGTAATTCCTATCAAAATACCAATGACATTCTTCACAGAAATTTTTTAAAAATCCTAAAATTTGTATGGAACCACAAAAGACCCAGAACAGCCAAAGCAATCCTCAAATAAAAAGAACAAAACTGAAGGAATCACATTATCTGACTTCAAATTATACTACAGAATTATAGTAAACAAACCAGCATAGTACCGGCATAAAAGAAAAAGACACATAGACCAATGAAACAGAATAGAGAACCCAAAAACAAATCCATACATCGACAGTGAACTCATTTTTGACAAAGGTGCCAAGAACATACACTGGGGAAAGAATGGTCTCTTTAATAAATGGTGCTGGGAAAACTAGATATCCATATGCAGAAATGCAGAAGAATAAAATTAGACTTTTATCTCTCACCATATTCAAAAATCAAATCAAAATGGATTAAAGACTTAAATCTAAGACCTCGAGCTATAAAACTACTATAATAAAACACTGGGGAAGCTCTCCAGGACATTGGATTGGGCAAAGACAGGCAACCAAAGCAAAAATGGGTCTATGGGGTCATATCAAGTCAAAAAACTTCTGCATAGCAAAGGAAACAATCAACAAAATGAAGAGACAATCCATAGAATAGGAGAAAATATTAGCAAACTACCCATCTAACAAGGAACTATTAATAATAACCAGAACATATAAGGAGTTCAAACAACTCTACAGGGAAAAAATTCTAATAATCTAATTTTAAGAATCTAAATAGACATGTCTCAAAAGAAGACAAACAAATGGTAAAGAAGTCCATAAAAAGGTGCTCAACATCATTCATGATCAAAGAAATGCAAATAGAAATTACAGGAAGATATCATCTCATCCAAGTTAAAATGGCTTATTTAAAAAATACAGGAAATAACAAATGCTGGTGATGATGTGGAGAAAAGAGAACCCTCTTACACTGTTGGCGGGAATGTAAGTTACTAAAACCACTATGGAGAGCAGTTGGAGGTTCCTCAAAAAGCTAAAAATAAACTTACTATATGATCCAGCAATCTCACTGCTGGGATATAACAAAAAGAAAGAAAATCAATGTACCAAAGAAATATTTCATTCTCATGTTTATTGCAGCACTATTCACGATAGACAAGATTTGGAATCAACCTAAGTGTCCACCTAGATGAATAAATAAAGGAAATGTGGTACATATACATAGGAGAGCACTATTCAGACATTTAAAAAAAGAATGAGATTCCCCCCAGCACTTTGAGAGGCTGAGGTGGGAGGATCACTTGAGCCCAGGAGGTCAAGGCCAGCCTGGGCAATAGTGTGAGACCTCATTTTTATTAAAAAAAAAAAAAAATTAAAAGAATGAGATCCTGTCACTTGAAACAACATGAATGGAACTGGAGGTCATTATGTGAAGTGAAATAAAACAGATAAAGACAAACTTTGTATGTTCTCAGTCATTTGTGGGAGCTAAAAATTAAAACAAGTGAACTCATAAAAGTAGACAGTAGAATGATGGTTACCAGAGGCTGGGAAGAGTAGGTGAGAGTTGGGGAGAGTGGTAATATTTAATGGGAACAAAATATAGAAGATAAAATGAATGAGATTTAGTATTGATAGCACAACAGGCTAAGTACAGTCAACAATAATTTGTTGTACATTTTAAAATAAGAAAGAGAGTATAAAAGAACTGTTGTAACACAAAGGATAAATGCTTGAGGTAATGGATACCCCATTTACACTGACGTGATTATTACACATGGCATGCCTACATCAAAGTATCTCATGTACTTCATTAAAATATACACCTATGTACCCACACAAATTTAAAAAAAAATTTTAAAAATTGGTAAAAAAAAGAAGCAAATATCATCAAAATTTGTCACATTAAACCTTTCAAAAACTCTCATTCACTTTGTTCCTCTTTTATTATATAACATTTTTGGTATCAAGAACATATTAAATAATAATATAATGAACACTAAAGTATCTACCATCCACCATTAAAAATACAATGATCTTTTAAATCAAAATCCTTTACTCTCCCATAGGGATTCCACAAAATAGTATGAACATAAAGCTAATCACTTCTTCAATGAAAAATTAAACCGTGTGGTATTTTCTTCATATAAAAATGGTCTATGCAAAATTACTGAGATGAGATAGATTAGGGATCAGCGAATTGTAGAGGGAGAGAGGTGGGTGTGACCATAAAGGTAGCATAAGAGAGATTTTTGTGGTGGTGGAATAGTTATTTTATCTTGATTGCAGTAATAGTTACACAAATGTACATTTTTATAAAATGGCACAGAACTATACAAGTCTGGGCATTAAAAAGCTAACATAGCTGGCCTGAGGATGCTATCCTTATTAAGGCTGCCTGCAAAGTTGATCTTTGGCTTGTGTCTGGAAACTTGAATTTTGGCAGTGTTCCCTAACTGATAAAGGTGCCTTGTTATATCTAGACTATTTGTGCAAACAATGTGATTTATGCTGACCATCAAGGAGTTTCTTCTGGAAGTCTGGAATTTTGATACATGCCATGCAGCAGGTACCTAGATGACCAACACGCAATAAAAATGTTGATCACTGAGTCTCTTATGGGCTTCCCTGGGCAGAAACATTGCAGATGTTGCTACATTTTCATTTGTGGAGGTAGCCATATATGCTGTGTGACTTGTCATAGGAGGGACAAAATAAAGGGGAACTTGTAGATGGCTTTCTTCAGACTTCACCTGTGTCTTTTCCCCACATGATTTACCATACATCCTTACTACATCACCATAATAAATCTTAGATGTTAGTATAACCATATGGTGAGTCTAGTCCTTCTAGCAAATCTCTGAACATGAGGGTGGTCTTGGAGACCCCAGACACAAAGCCCATGGATGAACATCAATTTCCTATTTTTCATATGTACTGGAGTCATGTAATTATGTAACTATTGAGGGAAACAGTGTGAGGTGTACGCCAATAACTCCCTGTCCATTGTATTTGTGATGGTTAGGGTCATGTATCAACTTGACTGGCCACAGGGTGCCCAGATTAAATATTGTTTCTGGGTATGTCTCTGAGGGTGTTTCCAGATGAAATTTGCCTTTGAAATGGTAGACTGGGTATAACAGGTTTCCCTCTCCAATGTAAGTGGGCATCATCCAATCCATTAAGGCCTGAATAGAACAAAAAGTAGAGGAAGAAAGAATTCATCCTTTTTTTGCTTCCAGCCTACTTTCTGGGGCTGGGACATCTCATCTCCGCTTCTGCCCTCACCCTTGGATTTATATCATTAGCTCCCATAGTTCTTAGCCTTCAGAACTGGGATGAATTATACCACCAGGATTCCTAGGTCTCTAGATTACAGAGAGCAGATCATGGGAACTGCTGAGCCTCCATAATCACATGAGCAAATTCCTCATAATAAATCACATATATATTCCTTATAATCATGTATACACACAAGTGTGTATAAGTATTTGTGTGTATGTTTTATACATATAAAACAGAACACACACACACACACACACACACACACACACACACACACACACACACACAGCAAAACAGTTTGGTTTCTCTGGAGAACCCTGGACTCCTCTGCTCTTAAGCTCTATATTGACTGAAGATTATAGATCTATCTTTTGTCACATTACCCTTTTTCATCGAGATTAGCCTGTATCATAAACAAGATTTTAAAAAATACATAGAACAATAAATATCCATAGGATATAACCTTTCTTTTTATAGTGATCTAACGTATTCTCTCACCTTTTACACTTCTAATGACCAACAGTATAAAATGAAGAGATAAATGACTGGGATTAGAAATTTGGCTTCAAACTGATCTCAGTAGAGATAGACATATGTGTTTGTTCCTGATAGACTAAGTGAGTTTATTAATATAAACTCCCCATAACATCTAAGTGTTAGAATTCCCATCCCTGAAGAGGCAGTAAAATGTTGTAGTTCAGACCATAGACTACATGGACTGTATCCTGAATAGAGTCAAGATTACATGGACTGCATCCTGACTCCACTACTTACTACCTGGTCAAGTTAGCAAGTTATTTAACCTCTGTGCCTCGGTTTCCTCATCTACAAAATGGGAATAATAAGATGGGGTAGTTATGAACAGTGAAAGAGTTAATTCTCACAAAGTGCTGAGAACAGTGGCTGTCATAAACACTAAATACGTGTGAGCTATTATTTTGCAATGAAAAGAAAACAGCTTCATGAATAACACAACAGAGACTAGCTAAATACAATTCTAAATAAAACATTTCTAAGAACAAGATAAGATGCAGGATTGTGGTAATGCTGTAATTAGAAGAAGAAAAACTCTGGAATTTAAAGATGCAAGTGGTACATTTCTAACCTAAATCCCCGTCCTTTTATCCTACCTTACCCCCATCAGCAAAGATTATTCCAAGAACTAGAAAAACAGGAATATGGAGATGCTATTGGCAAATGCACCTCCATCATACATAATCCATTGTTGCCTCCTACAAGATTGTCTTGTCCCTTTTTGGTGGCCTTAAAGGACAGGGAGAGTAATTTAGACAGAGTAGTAGACTGCTTTGATCATGACAAAGCCACTGCTCACAAGTACTACCAAGAGCTACCAAGAGAGAAACTCTTCCATTTCCTAGTGCAAGACTCATCTCTGAAGTAATGTCTGAGTAAAGAGGGCTAAGACATGGGTACCTGTTAAGGCTGATTTACATTGATTTGTTTCATTCAAGGGCAATCTGGTCAGTAGGAGAAATAGCAAGTCTGCCACATCCCCAAAGTTCTGAGGATTACAAAATGTAAACCCCCCATTTTCTTTGTTTCCTCATTGGAATCCAACTAGAATCTCCTTCTGAATGGTATACCATTAGGAATTAGGGTAAGAACCCTAATTCCTAGAATACTAAATAAGAATTATTTTTCCATCTTTTTGTACATCATTATGATATGGGATTTGATGTCTTAGCTCCCTTTTCTGGTCTCTGGGTAGTCCTTTTTTGAAGATAAATCTATTTATTGCTAAAGTATCATTTGGTCTTAAACACATAAATACATTTTGTTAATTTTACCTACAATAGAAATCTCAGAAGAAAGAGAAACTGAGTATGGTTTAAAGACAGATTTTTTTTTTTAAATTGATAAATAAAAATTGTATATATTTATCATATACAATATGACATTATAAAATATGTATACACTGTGAAATGACTAACTCAAGCTAATTAACATGTATAACCTCACATATTTATAATTTTTGTGGTGAAAATACTTAAAATTTACTCTCAGCAATTTTCAAAATTATAATACATTGTTATTAACTATAGTCACTATGTTCTACAATAGATCTCTTGAACTTGTTCCTCATATCTAACTGAAATTTTGTATCTTTTGACTAACATCTCCTCGGCCTATACTCCTGACCTCTTACCATCACTGTATTCTCTGCTTCTGTGAGTCAACTCCTAGATTCCACATTCAAACGACATCATGCAGTATTTGTCCTTCTATACTTGGCTTATTTTTTTTTAACTTTATGATTCTCTATTTCTAATTGGGAAAGTCAATTTCTATTAGTTCAAGTTTATCTTAAGATGAAGAATTTTGTGGTAGGTAAGGGGACTAGAATAGGCTTATTACAGAGCTTATTACAATCACATAAGAAAGTACAAGACATATAAGTCATCTATAAGTCATATAAGAAAGTACTAGACACAGGAAGGCAACAAATTTATATGTACCCTTTTCTAGAGGTAAAAAGAGAAAAATAAAAATAGGCCCACACCTTAAAATAAGCATGCATTAGCTGTTTTCTCACTGAGAAATATTGACCCAGTCCATTATTTCACATTTTCAAAGGCAAACACTTACAGTATAATTAGTAGCTTGAATGTTCCTGAGTGCTGCTTCCAGTTGTGTTATCAAGAAACGTAAAGTCAAAGCAGGGACAATTTCCTCACCATTCTGGCTGTTAGCTGCAACTTCTCTCTGTGGAAAATAATTTAGTTAAAAAAGTCTTTAAGTCTGAACAAATATCTACATATGTTTACATTATACAAATAATTCATGCTCATTGGAGAAAATTTGAAAAATAGGATGAAAATGGTTTAAAAAAAAATCCATACCATCCAGATACACTGTTCTCACGTTTGTTTTTAAGTAGTTTTTAAGTTGTCTAATGAATGTCATTTGTAACTATTTCTTTAAAACATTTTTTAAAAAGGCATTCCTATACCTGTCAAGGGGTTAGCAACATCCACACCTACTTCAGAGGAAAGTGGTAATCCCACTTCACTCTCATACATTCTATTGTGTGAAATAGCTAAAATCTTTCAGCTCTGAGCCAGCCTGTGGTAAACAGGAATGCTGGCATTAATACCAATAAAGGGGTAAACCATTTTATGCTGCAATCTGATTGCAGCTGAGCTAATGCATGCTTTATTATGTACTATAGTTTATTTACATGGTTGAAATGAAAGGTAGGACTATGTCTTTGTGTCCATTCCCCAATGCCTTCTACCTGACAAGTGCTTGCTTTAAATTACATTACCTGTTTAATGATGTATAATCTGCATGGAAAATTTAATCTACATTTCCATTAACTTGGTTTCCATATATAATATTTTCCTGTTTCTTTCCTAGCCGACTAGATACTTTATTTCAGTCTCCCTAGCCATCAATTGAATGAGCCTCTTCTCTATCAATACATATTCTCTAGATAAAGTACTCCACTATCATAATTTTACATAGTGTCTACACACTGACAGTTTCCAAATTTTCATTTCTGGCCAAGAACTATCACCTGTATTCCAGGCTCACAGCCAACTCAACAATATCTCTTGAATTTGAATAGAAATATAAAACATAATACTGAAGTTCCACCTCTGTCAAACAGTCTAGGTGGTTTCAAATCAATCTCCCCAGTGAGAATGACTAAAACAACTGGACAAAACATAAAAACTAATTATCTGAGAGCAATGGAATTCTACCAAGACAATGAAAATGAACACCTCTGAAAGGAAATCTCTGGGAAGCTGACTTTTGGAGCAAATTTTCTCATTAAAGTAACTGCTACATTCAGTTGTGGCGTAGCCTTCAGCAGATTTGCGAGGCTGCGGAGAAAACTGGAGTGCATAGTCTGTAAGGAAGAGCAGCCCTGATAAACAGCTCATTCTTTTGACTGAGGCCCTGTTTCGGTTACAATGGAAGTGGACCAGAATTCAAGGATTTCAGTGGAAATAGTCTATTTGCGAAGAACAGAGACAATGGTAGAAAAGTGGAAAAGTAATAAAGTAAAGGAAAAGTAGGCTTTAAGTTAAAGGATGTGTTATTAAGCTAGTTACCCATGGTGGGCCACTGCAGTTATTACAACTGGGAAATTTTGGAAAACTCAAAATTACAAATCAGTATTAACCAACAAAACAGAAGAGGCAACTGGGATACTCATATAACTTCCAAGACCTACTGACTGAGTGCTTTCTGGGGTAATGGGGAAATATTAATTCCTTGGATTTTCTGAACTGCCATGAGAAGTACTTTATCCTGTTTTAGAAAAAAAAAAAAATCCCTGAGGCATAGAGATATAGATATGAAAAACTATAATTGTCCAGGGCATACGGAAAATATTGGTAGGATCCAATTGGTATGGGAAGAGCACTGACAGAGTCTGCTACAAAAAGTAGAGAAACTGACCCTTCTTCAAAGAACAAGTAAAGATTGGAATCATCTCTACCCCAGGTTGAATTAAATAATTTACTAGAAAAACAAAAATAAAAATAACTAGAAAAAATTTTGTCCAGTTTTCTCAGTTCTTCACAGAGGACGGTTGCTATGAGACAAACCAGGCAGCTACTCCAATAAGCAGAATTATCTTTACTATTTTCAATGGCTACAGTATTTGTATTTATGTTTTCATATTCATTCATGATTTTGGATATTTTTGCTTTCTTTTTTGGACATACTTATTAAGCATTTGTCAATTTTATTGTTCTTTTCAAAAAAGCAAGTTTTGGATTTATCGATCCTTCCTATTTTATGCTTTAAATAGATTTCATTAGTTTTAAATCTCTTTATCATTTCCTTTTTGAGTGCTTTTAGTTTGCTGTTCTTCCATTAACCTCTTGAATGTATGCTTAGATAAATGATATTCAATCTTGCTTCTTTTTTTTCTAATATTTACATCACATCGCAAGTTATAAATTTTCCTTGAAGCACAGCTTTATCTTATAACACAAGATTTGATATGTTATTTTTATTCAGTTCAAAAATGTGTTTAACTTCTGTTGTGATTTCTTCTTTGACCAGTTGGTTACCTAGATTAGAGGTATATCTCTTAACTTATGAACATATGGTTTTCTAGATTATTGCTTTTATTGATTTCTAGATTAACTGAATGTTAGAGAACATACTCTGTTATGTTTTGATACTTTGAAATTTGATGGGCCTTGCTTTGTGACCTAGTATATGGTCAATTTTTTGTAAATGTTCTGTGTGCACTTAAAAAGGATACATATTCTGCCATTGTTGGGTGTAGTGTTCATATATGTGTCTCAGGTAGACCGAGTCTGCTATAGTTCTACTAATTTTGTGTCCATGTTCTCTCATTTATTAACAGAAGTATGTTAAAATATCCCATTGATATTGATTTGTCTGTTTCCTTTAGTATTACCTATTTTTACCATCTTATCATTCATGAAAGTTCTGTAGATATTTGGGTCTACTTCTGGAACTTATCTTCTATTTTCTAGACATGTCTGTGGTATAAAGAACAAGTAACATAATCTTTTAGTTATTAAAGCTTCATAATAACTTTTAATGTTTAAGTAGGCAAATTCCCAGCCCTATTCCTTTATACTTTTCTTAATTTTCTTGGCTATTTTTCCTCTTATTTCCCATGTGAACTTTAGACTTGGCATTTAGGGACACTAACCAAAAAAATCCTATTGTTTTACTGGAGTTATGTGATATTTGTGGATTTTAATTTGTGGAAAATTGACAGCTTTAATATACTGTGTCTTCCTACATGCACTATTCCATTCATGTGGTCATTTCTTACACTTTCAATAGAATTTTAGAAAGTTTTATTTATTGTTTTAATAAGGAGTACTGACTTCTAAACTTAATGTGACTACAATCAGTGCTTGGGTACTTGCTAAAATGCAGATTCCCAGATCTATCCCCAGAGATTTTGATTCTTTAGAATTGATACAGGGTCAGATATTCTCATGTAAGTGGTTCAGAACAAGCTTAAGGAAATACTAGTTTATCTTGTACATTTCTTAAGTGTTTTACTCAGTATTTCAGTTTTGTTATTACTATAAATAAGTATAGTTCACCCTCCATATCCACAAGTTCTGCCTCCGTGGATTCAACCCACTATGGACTGAAACTATTTGAAAAATAAATAAATAGCAAGAATACAATAATTTTAAAAATTGAAAAGACAATATAGCATTTACATTGTATTAGGTATTATAAGTATTCTAGGGATGATATAATGTATACAGAAGGTGTACAGGTTGTATGCAAATACTATGTCATTTTACATAAGAGACTTGGGCATTCTTGGATTTTTGTACTGAGGGCTGTTCTGGAACTAGCATCCCACAGATAACAAAAGATGACTGTACTGTTCTTCTATTTTTACATTCTAGTTGGTATTTTTTACATATCTGAAGGCTACTGATTTCTGTCTTGTTTCTAAGTGATTTCCAAAACATAAGAGGGAAATGATGGCATTATTCTATCAATTTCAAGCCAGAATTGCCTTATACTGTGGTAAATTATCTCAGTTAATGTTATAATTGTACATAAAGTCTTATGAATATCTCCAGAGTTTGTTAGAATTTTTAATGATACTAGTATTAAAGTGTTTCATGGAAATAATTATATATTCTTTCATAGAAACACAAATGTAGCCTTCTCAAGACAACTATGGTGCTTTGCCCTTCTCTTCCCTAGTTAATTGCCACAAAGAAAAGAGTATATAATTTTCTTTAACTTCAGAAAACTCTATTAATTTAAGAAATGGTACCCTTTTTATGCTAAAAATTACCACAAATTATACAGGAAAACTACTTTCTAGATGGAAATCTACAATATATCCTCTGGAATATTATATGAATAATTCCAAAAGTTTTGGATATGATTTTTGAAAATAAATTTTTGACAAATGTGTAACTTTTTTTTTTTTTTGAGACACAGTCTTGCTTTGTCTCCCAGGCTGGAGTTCAGTGACATGATCTCAGCTCACTGCACCTCCATCTCCTAAGTTCAAGTGATTCTCCTGCCTCAGCCTCCCGAGTAGCTAGGATCACAGGCATGTGCCACCATGTCCGGCTAATTTTTGTATTTTTAGTAGAGATGAAGTTTCACCATGTTGGTTTAACTCCTGACCTCAGTGATCCACGCACCTTGGCCTCCCAAAGTGCTGGGATTACAGGTGTGAGCCACCATGCCCAGCCAAATGTGTTAACATTTTGAGTTAGGAGACCAAAAGCAGTCCCCTGTCCCAGAGTGGCATGTTATAGGTTATTAGTAGGACTGGAATAAACACTAGACCTTGTAGTCAACAGCTTACAAGCTACCGACCCACATTCCTACCATTATTCTTAAAAGGCTAGCACCACATGACTCTATTTGCTCAATGTTTTAAAAGTCTACAGTCAAGGTTGTACCAAAGCCCTTTACAACAGATAAGACAGAGATATTTTTCAAGACTTTGGCTACACTGTGTGGTTAAATTTTTTTTTTTTTAATTAAAAAAGTCATATAGAGACAGCTGCACTTCTGCCACAAAGATCAAATTATGATGTTACCTGCATAGTTTGGAAGGAAAAATCTTCTTGTAAGAACTTCTTAATGTGAGGAACCACACCTTTTGGTAGAGTATTAATTGCACTTAATAACTTCTTCACTTCTAATAGTAGGTTAACAGGAACAAGATCAGTAGGAACATTCTTTTCCTGTTTGTCCTAGAAGACATTTTGATTAAAAATTTACACAATTATGCATATTCTCATTTACTCTATTATCAAAATCAGCCAAAGCATTAAAAAAGGAACAAAGCTCCCTTTACCTTGTTCTTCTAGCTTCTATGACAGAACTATAGAAAATCTAAGGAAGAATAATATACGTTCTCTGCTTTCTAGGAACTTAAAATATTACCTATATTCTCAGTAACAGGAAAATTATATCTAACTGTGCTTTTTACATTATATGACTGATGCTTCATCTATTAAATACATAGCAATTTGAAAATGAATAGTTGTAATAGTTTAAAATTGTGAACAAAGTAGTAAAGCAGAATGACATCTCAATTCAGTCAGAGCTCCATAAATAGTAATAATTTTCAGGAATTTATTCTTCCGGAATTAATAAAGGCGTTAGTAATTTGATAACTACACAATCAAGTCCTGCTGGAATATCTATTAACATTAGTTGTGAAGAACCAGAGGACAACAGAGATAAATGGCCTATAACAGATGGATGATGGCCTTCCTTCAAACCTTAAGAAGCCAGAGATCTTATACTCTGCTGAAACTTCTAGGAATATGATTATGTTGCTATTGATCTTTGAAAATAAGAATTTCTTATTGTAGAAGCCGCATAGAGCTTGAGATGCTGAAAATGCCCTGGTATGGGGTAATTCTTTCACTTTCAGTTCTCTAATAGATCTGTAAATAACTAGAAATGAATAAAGTCCACTGCAGGACTATCTGCCTAATCTAAGTATGATGTTCTGCCCTTCTCTTCTCTAGTTAGTTGCCACAAAGAGTTTGCAGAGGTTATCCAGTAACTTAGGAGGGGAAAATATATAAACATAAAATAACCCTGGTATGTGGTATTCACCTGCATGAGGTTTTCACCGTAAAAAATGGGTTTGAGTGCTACATTAAGATTCCTCCATCCCCATCTATATTCAACAAATGTACCTTAGATTTTATAGCATTTCATAAGATTATGTATGCAGAAAAACGTTAACAGTTTACTGTCTATGAAGAATGTTCATTGTACTACCATTCATTTTACAATCCTTGCAATCTTTCTATAGGTTTGAAATTTTTCAAAAAGTTAAAAAAAATTCTACCAAGTAACTAGAAAAACCCCTTATAAAGAATGACCAATATCAGTGGTGCACATAATTCAAACTAAAGGTCAATTCTAGTCAAAAGTAACTGTGGAATCATCTGATACTAATTTAAAAGTTTATACAAAGGCAAGATTATAGCATGACAAACCATTTTTCAACAGGAAATACTATAAACTTCATGCCTACAGGGTCTTGCTTTGTCACATAGGCTGGCGTGCAGTGGCATGAACACAGTTCACTGCAGCCTCGACCTCCCAAGCACAAGTGATCCTCCCACCTCAGCCCCTCGAGTAGCTGGAAATACAAGTACGCACCACCACACCTGGCTAATTTTGGTATTTTTAGTAGAGACGATGTTCACCATGTTGTATAGGCTGGTCTCAAATTCTTGAGCTTAAGCAGTCAATATGCCTGCTTAAGTCAATCTCCCAAAGTGCTGGGATTACAGGCGTGAGCCACCATGCCTGGTCCAGAATTTTAATTTTTTAAGTTAGTTGTCATAATATTTGATGCTTAATCCACTTTGACAAAATTGATTTAATATCTAAACAAAATTCAGGTCAAAGTGCCCACTTTTCTCGCTTTTTGTATTCCTAATTCTATATATAGAAATGCCTTTTCTGGATCTAGTCCCCTGGTTCTTGCCTTTGCTCAACTGTACAATTCTACATATATTTGCATGTAATGTACTTCCTCTGCAACATTGTTTACAGTGATAACCTCATGCAGGTGAATACCATGGTTATTTTATGTTTATATATTTTCCCTTCCTAAGTTACTGGATAACCTCTGCAAACTTTCCTACCTATGTTCCTGCTAACATGTTTCTACTCAAGTCTCATGTTGAATTGTAATTCCTAGTGTTAGAGGAGGGACCTGATAAGAAGAGATTGGATCACAGAGGTGGTTTCTAATAGTTTAGTATCATCTCCCTAGTGCTGTCTCATGATATAGTTCTTACATTATGTGGTTGTTTGAAAGTGTATGGCACCTTCCCCTTTGCTCTCTCTCCGGCTGCCATGTGAAGATATGCTTGCTTCCCCTTTGCCTTCTCCCATGATTCTAAGTTTCCTGAGGACTACCCAGCCATGTGGCCTCCTGTCCAGCCTGAGAAAATGTGATTCAATTAAACCTCTTTTCTTCATAAATTACTCAGTCTCAGGTAGTTCTTTAGAGCAGTATAAGAACAGACTGATATACTTATTAACAAGTGGATTTAATCATTACATAAAACTATATGGAAGGTAAAAGTTATACTAATGAGCTCTTCATCAACCTTTCACAAAATATATGAACATATGATGTTCATACAACGATTTTTAACTACCACAAAAGCATATCACTGGTACTAAAAGCCTTTTCTGTATAATGCAGTTATTCTCTCTCATTTAGACCTAGGAGTTCTAACCATAAAGATAATAAAAATAAATAATAAACTTAACCTCAAAAATGACTCAAACTTCTTACTAAATAAAATTCTGATGTATATATGTGTGTTTTCTTTATATGTGCGTAGTTTTATTGTTGTTTTGCTTGAATGTTCCCTAAAAAAAAAAAATGACGGATTTCTTAAAATTGACTGTTGGGCTATTTATGGATAACTCTATTCATTTTTTTCCTAATTTTTAGTTATGGTGAGGAATGGTATTTAGAATGACAACCCTGAGACACAGTATCAATCATCAAAGCAAGATTCAATTGGACCATTTTACTAATGAAGGTAGGAAAGCAGACCCACTCAAAAGATTTTAACACATAACTAAACTAGCTAAATTTATCACAGCATTTGCATATATAATTAGTTATTATCAATTAAATAAAAGTTAATGAAAATTAAACTTTGTCTTACCAGTTGAACAGATGATGATTTTTCTGGTTTATTCTCAGTTTCTTCCTTCCTCTGATCCTCCACATGGGGATGCCTATTTTAAATGAAAATAAGGTGCATTAAGAACGTCTCCTCACAAAGAACACAAATTATAGTAAGGAATCTAACAACTGAATTATTGTCTGAAAGTGCAACCAAAGCGTATCAAAGACTGGTAATGGTGGTAGGTGCCATATCTCTTTAGGGACTCAAGTTAAGAAAGACAAATTAGGTCATGCCCTTACTGGATGGTGGTAGAGAAAACAGCAAGCTGATTATGAAAAACACTGCATCCTTAATAGATATGCAGTAGACCAAAAAAATAGGAAGAAAAACTTATAGCACTGTTTCAAGGTAAAGGAAAAAGGTCTTAAAAGGGTTGAGATTTTGTGTGTTTGTTTACGAAGATATTACAGGTTAGGGAGACATCTATCTTAAATAGATCATTTTATTTTTTGTTTGGGGTTCCTAAACTTCTAATTGTCCAGTTTTCCAAAATATTTTTAATTGAGAAAAAATGTCATATTTAGAAATTATTAACTATTTGGGTAATAAGGAATCACTTGACAGGTTTTGCTTTTAACCTTAGCTCAAAATATGAACATATTGCAGTATTATACACTGAACAGAAAATTTTATTTATAGTATTGCTTTTGCCTCCATACAGAATCATTGCATAGGAACCATAATATAGGGTCATATATGATTTATTTAATATTAACTTTGGACTCCAGAAGAGATAACACTGAGGTGAGAAATGTATTCGATGGATTTATACAGAATCGTACTTTATAAATATTATCTTACTTGACTTTACATTTATGTATTCATTTGACAACCACTTATCATCTAATATATGCTAACTGATTTTGTTGGGGTAAACTGGGACAGATAAATAAAATGTTATCCATTTTCAAACTTCTAGTGGAAGTTTCTACAAAAGATGATATACACATGCAAACATTTCACAATATGATTTTCAGTGCTCTTTAAGGTACCATCATGATAAAAAGAAACCTATTAACTGTCTTTTCCTCCACATCCAAGTGGGGCCCCACTTGCCCACAAAAAATAAAGCAAAACACAAATTATATCCGTGTGTTACCAAGGAATGAAAAATACTACAGTAGTATTCTGAAGTCTTTCAAGGTTTGAGAAAGAGTATAAAATGTTCTCAAATGTATACTCTACCAGCAAACTCAATTTTATGATCATTCCCTCCTTAACCCAATATTTCTCAATCC